AGCCCAGAGTTGAATGCAGTATTCTAAAAGTGGCCTCACCAATGTCCTCTAAAGCCACAATATGACATCCCAACTCCTATATTCAATGCAGTGATCAATGAAGGCAAGCGTGCCAAATGCCTTTTTCACCACTCTGTCTACCTGTTCGACAACACTCCCCTTAGCCCTACTATTAAGTGTATAAGTCCTGACCTGATTTGCCTGTCCAAAATGCAGCACCTCACATTTATCTAAATTAAACTCCATCTGCCACTCCTTGGCCCATTGGCCCATCTGGTCAAGGTTCCATTGTACTGAGATAACCTTCTTCACTGTCTACTATACCACCAATTTTGGCGTCGTCTGCAAACTTACTAACCGTACCTTCTATATTCACACACAGATCATTTATGTAAATGACAAAAAGCAGTGGATCCAGCACCAATCCTTGGGGCACACTGCTGGTCACAGTCCTCCAGTCCAAAAAGCAACCCTCCACCACCACCCTCTGTCTCCTACCTTCAAGCCAATTTTGTACTCAATTGGCTAGATCCCCCAGACTTCAAGTGATCTAACCTTGCTAACTAATCTACCACGTGGAACCCTGTTGAACACCTTGCTGAAGTCCATATAGACAATGCCTACCACTCTGCCTTCAATCTTCTTTGTCACCTCTTCAAAAAACTCAACCAAGTCAATGAGACATGATTTCCCATGCACCATGCCATGCTGACTGTTCCTAATCAGTCCTTGATTTTCTACTTGCATGTACATCCTGGCCCTCAGAATCCTCTCCAACAACTTACATAAGACGGACAAAAGGCTCACTGGTCTGTAATTCCCTGGCTTTTCCTGACCACTTTTCTTAAATAATGGCCCTTATACTCCTCTAGGGATTCACTCAATCCCAGATGTCCACACCTGACATATGCCTCCTCCTTTTTCTTGACCAGAACCTCAATTTTTCTAGTCATCTAGCATTTCCTACACCTACCAGCCTCACCCTTTACCAACAGGAACATACGGTCTCTGAACTTTCACTGTCTCATTTTTGAAGGCCTCCCATTTTCCAACCATCCCTTTACCTGCAAACAGCCTCCCACACATCAATTTCTGAACGTTCCTGCCTAATACCATCAAAATTGGCCTTCCTCCAATTTAAAACTTTAACTTTTTGATCAGGTCTATCCTTTTCCATCATTATTTTAAAACTAAGAATTATGATCACTTGTCCCACAGTGCTCTCCCACTGACACCTCAGTCACTTACCCTGCCTTATTTTCCAAGAGAATGTCAAGTACTGCTTATGTTCTAGTTGGTACTTCCACATATTGAATAAGAAAATTTCCTTGTACACACTTTACAAATCCATCTCCATCCATGCCCTTAACATTATCACAGTCACAGTCTATGTTTGGAAAGTTAAAGCCCTTACCAATACAACCCTATTATTCTTGCAAATATCAGAGATCTCCTTACACATCTGCTTCTTAATTTCCCCACTGGCTATTGGGAGAACCTATAGTACAATCCCAACAAGGTAACCATCCCTTTCATATTTCTCAGCTCCACCCATATAACCTCACTGGACCTTCTCCCATGAATAGTCTCCCCTAAGTACAACCGTAATATTATCCTTAACCAATAATGCCACACTCCCTCCTTTCTTGTCCACCCATAGCATCGACACCCAAGAACATTGAACTGCCAGTCCTGCCCCTCCCTGAGCCATGTTTCTGTAATAGCTACGATATCCCAGTCCCATGTTCTGAAGCATAGAACATAGAACAGTACAGCACAGTACAGGCCCTTCGGCCCACGATGTTGTGCCAAACTTTTACCCTAATCCTAAGGTTGTCCAAGTTAAGCTGCTTTACCTGCCAGGCCTCTTGTCTTGAAATAAATGCAGTTTAATTTATCATTCTTGTTACGTTCTCTGTTGTGCTTTTGCCTGCCTTGACTATTTAACTTGCTCCCTTTATCTATTGTATCAGCCTCAGGCTTCTTTCTTTGGGTACCCTTCTTAGTAGTTTAAAGCCTCCCGAGTAGCACTAGTAAGTCACCCCTTCCAATTCAGATGCAATTTGTCTCTTATACAGGTCATTTTTACCCCAAAAGAGATCCCATGGTTAACCATGATTTAGAAACGACAGCGATGGCTATTAATTGCCTGAGGAGACATAGGGGTGGGGATGTTGGTCGTGACAGAAGCTGTAACATTGAGCTTATTGACGACTCAATCCACAAAAGGAAAAAAAAATTTTGTTTTTAGTTTCATCAACTGTCTTGTATCCAAACTGACACTACAGAGTAGGAGTCCTGATAAAGGGTCTAGGCCCGAAACGTTGATTCTCCTACTCCTCTAATGCTGCCTGACTTGCTGTGTTCCTCCAGCCCCATGCAGTATCGACTCTGATGCCAGCATCTGCAGTTCATGCTATCTTCTAGGGCAGAAGAGTGCTGGTGTACTTGTGTGTTCCTAAGCAAGTAATGTAGAGGCCCACACTAACACAGCAATTTAGGATACAGGAATTTTAGGATACAGTAACGTTGAGCCAGAAAATATAGGTTCAAGTTCCACCTGTCTTGGAATGTACAAATAAAATACCCAAGCCATACTAGTCTGAAAAACAAACCACATCTGAGCTTAAAAGCTAAACAGACTCAGGTCTGGTTAGAACTTAAATCGATACCTGAGAATACCATGTGCATGAGGCTTGGGGTGGAGACAATGTTGCATGCAGCAGTCCTGTGCTGATGCAAGCAAAAACTACACATTCATATTTGCAAGCAACTATAAACTGAAAGGCTCTCTGGTTTGGATTTACACCAAGAAGTTACAGAACACTTGGTGAAATTCATCACCTGATCTTTAATATGATCCGAGTGTGAATCTAATCTTCAGCAGTATCTTAATTTCAGATGATAAGAATTGTTACTTTTAACAAAGGGCTCTTTTGCTAAATGAACAATTTTTACAAAGTTTACATCTAGTGCTTATCAGATGGAATGCTGACAAACACTCAATCTTCTAAATTTCTATTAATCCTGTAAAGGTCAGTTCAAGACATTTTTTTCATATACACAATTACTGTCAGCATAGCTCCAGGTCTGAAGGATTTCCTAACATAGCTTTGAGTCTTGGGAATTGAAGTCTCATGGACTGTCAGCTATAGGGGTGGAAAAATGAAGTATGAGGTTGTAAAAGTTGGTGAAAGGTGGCGACTACACATCAAGGGGAAGGAGGCAGCTACATTTGGTGAAAAAGGAGGTGGCTTTAAGAGAGGGAGGGCAAAGAAGGAAGTTGCAGTATGGAGGCAAAGCAGGGACTGCAAAGCAGGGGGAACAGGGAAAATGGCAAGTAAATGGCACTAAATCAATGTTCGTTGAAGAGCCAGTGCAGATACAATAGACTGAACAGTCTCCTTCTGTGCAGTAACAATTTTGTGATAACAGTCAAACAATCTAGTATGGATTGAGGGCTAAATATTTGGCCAGTGCACTGAAGTTAAGACCCCTGAACTTTTTACCATGGACTCATCAAGTCCAATTAGATAGGGGTCTCACTTTAATGTCACAAAACAGACAGACAGCACCTCTGACAGTGCAGCATTTCCTCAATACTTAAAATGGTTTGAACAGCCTCTTACACTATATCAGTGTCTTGTAGGACAACAGGAAAGATTTGCAGGGAAAAAAAAACTGCAAGAAAATAAGAGATGGAATCACAGAATTGTTACAGTGCAGAAGCAGATCATTCCACCCATCACATCCACATGTGACTAGGTAGGATGATTCTGCAGAAATGGAAGATAAAAAAGGTTTTTTGACACTGGACTGAATCCTCCCAGAAACAACAGGTACAGCAAGGTCAGACAGAAGATGCTAACAGATCACTGCTGTGAGCACAATCCCAACAAGATTTGGATTAAAATGCAACAGGAGACCGCAGGCCTCAGGCCTCAAGAAAAGCTGCCAGGCAGAAACATTATTTTGTTTATAAAACAACTTTCTTTAGATAACCTCAAAATGTCTTACAGTATATTATGAAGTACCTTTGAAGTGGTCACTGATGCAATGTAAAATTTACAGAATGACTTAATAGCAAGTAGCTACCTCCTTCAAACCAGGTCATACAAACATTGAACTGCTTATAATGCATTATATGGCAGCAATGGCACAACCGCACATCCCAAAACCTGGGACGGCTACTACTGTTAAAGATACTTCACACAACAAATCCTGTTCATGCCAACCTCAGTGCACGATGCATACTTACTAAAGCTCACATTGATGTTTTGAGCATTTTGATCACATCAAGATGTTGCAATTTTAAAAAGGCACCCAATATTAATATCTCCAGGATATTAGGGCAGCACAGTGGCTCAGTGGTTAACACTGCTGCCTCATAGCACCAGGGACTCGGGTTCAATTCCACCCTCGGACGACTGTCTGAGTGGAGTTTGCACATTCTCCCCGTGTCTGTGTGGGTTTCCTCCAGGTGCTCCGGTTTCCTCCCACAGTCCAAAGATGTGCAGGCTAGGTAGATTGGCCATGCTAAACTGCCCGTAGTGTTCAGGGGTATGTACATTAGGTGGGTTATAGGGAGAGGAGTTTGGGTGGGGTGCTCTGTGGGTCAGTGTGGGCTTGTTGGGTTGAAGGTCCTGTTTCCAAACTGTAGGGATTCTATGATTTCTATGATAATCAAAGGCAGATGAGCTGAATTGGAGAAGGATCTAGGAATTGGTTCACTTTGTGGTGGCACCATTGGTTACAAGAGCATGGAGGGAACAGTGGATTGGTAAAAGACCCTGACTACAACCATTTGTCACTTGTCCATGCGATCACTAACCAAATTACAGTCAGGCTTGGTATTTAATAGACTGAACTATTCCTGTGAAACTAAATCACAGGAATGAATCCCCTCTCAACATTACTCTTTACTTTTATTTACTTGGTAAGTATAACTAGGCATTAAGTTATTTTATAAGTGATTCAATATAATAATTGAAATATCTTACTTTCCACATAAGTGTGACTTGCAGATGGTTGGTATCTGACAGATCTGTTGTGTACCAGACATCCAGTTGCCCTGTGGGAACTATGTAAAGACAAAAACAAAAGGAACCTACTGAAATATCATAATCTGAAGTAAAAAGTTTATTTATGTTCATTGTAAATGTCCAACATGTAAGCTTTACCACACCTCACCTTCGAAACACAGTAATCCTACACTATCAGTTTTGATAGTGATAAAATAGAAGGATCAATCAACATCAGGCATATTTATGTACAATGTCAATAACTTAGCCATCTTTCTTTTTGATATGGAAGCAAGGTTAGACAGTGATAGGAACTTCCCCTCAAAATATTGACAAAAATCGGGTGCGACAAGCAAGGCTGGTGCATACTTGCTGTGACATCTCTATTCATGACTAGTAGGACTACTGCTATATTCTGCACAGGATATCACATTTGGAATGCATTCTGATATGCAGATGGATTTCAAATTTTAGACGTCAGCATACGCATGCATTGCTGCAGTTATTGGATTATACATCAGAATTGACAGGAATTGAATTACACCCACTAAATTCCAGTGTATTTACTGACCACAGTGTGATTTTACTACAGCATTACAAAGTCAAAAGAATTAATAATGAAAGAAGTGTTTTAAATGTGTTTCACACCTTTGGTCAAATCATTAATTACTGCATCATAAGGAAACTAACAAGGTCAGCAATTTGTTTTGTAACTGATCAGGAGTTTCTGAGTCAGGAGACAGGGTGTGAAAAGTACAGTACAATGCCTCTTTGGAGGTCATTTCAGCTAGTACCATTCCCTGAAACCTACCCTCTAGGGTTTTGTTCCCTCACCTAGAAAACCCTAACATTTCTGAAGCTTAAATTTTACAGAAATTTTGATGCCTCATCTGATTCTTTATGCATGAGCCAATACTTTGAACATTGGCAGAACGTGTTTATTGAGAGCATAATCTGCTCCACACCTAAGCTCCAACATACACGTTCCAGGAAGACTCAAAACGGTAAGGATTAGAAGCAGGAACCCAGGGACACTATGTCCCAATCAACAGATCAGTTACTTCAATGAAAACAAAAAAAAAACTGAAGTCATCTTGCCGTGCGTAGCCCCTTAGCACTAAGCTTATAGCAGATATGTTCTCCAATTTCCTTTTGTCTATTTTTCTTGTAGAATAAAAAAAAGTCGATGCACATATTCATCAACAAGATAGATTGATGCTCACACAATAAAGGAATTATTCCATTGAATTGGTTTTGCATCAACTCCAACAGCACAGCAATGGTGGGGAACTTTACCTGCCTCTGGTGTCTTGCTTACAAAGGAAGGGCTCCACTCACTCCATTGTCCTTGGAACTGATCAAACTTAGAGCGAACCTGGAACTCATATTCTGTGTAATGCTCCAAATCAAACACATCGCAATGTGTAAAATTGATTAAGAATTTCTGAAATCAAAACAGAAGAAGAAGTAATTATAAATGGAACCTGGATGAAGAGTTGTTTGAGTCTCAAACAAGACTGCACATTTTGGCTTAATAAAACATATTTCAATAAATTCTTTGCAATGCTTGGCAGTTGCTTCCACTTGGTGGAATAAATGGCAGCAATGCAAGAGATGACATGGTGGATTTTGTAAACAATGGCATGTTAGTGGTGGAAACAGGACTGATCAAGGAGTGGCCAAAGATACCAATCATAAGAAAGGTCACATGTACTACTATGACCTGAATTGACTTTTCAGTGTACAGAAGTTTATCCTCTTCATGCTCTTCAAGTGGTTGGTCAGGCAATGTAGGTAAAACACATCATCCCTCGACTCCTGCTTATAGCTTTTGTTGAAGGAGGAGTGGTAGGTAGTGCCATTCAATGGTGTAGCCTATGCAGTATGGCTGCCTTCCATTATTTCTAAGATAATCCCACTGCGTCCTATTTGAAGGAAGGGAGTTGTAGAAATAGTATTCCACAAATATTAGAAAGACAAATTAAAATAAAATGTTGTTGGCAGAAGCGCAATATCATAAACTCTTTTAGAAACAAAGACTGCAGAAATCCTCAAAGTGCTTAACATGCCTGGCAACCTTGAATGCCCATTTTATATGGGCACAATGGAAAGCAGGACAGTGTAACGGTGTCACTGAATGAAAAGGCAGTGGAGAATACAGTATAATGAAATGGTGAGAATCTGGTATAGCTAATCTACAAGACACATGCACTCGAATACTTTTGGAAATTCAAAGAGTACTTTGAGAGAAATTCAAACTTTTCTAAGTAGAATAGCCAGTTTAAAATAAAAAGTTACCTTTTCCCATTGACTGTTGGTACTTTGATATCGGATTTCAAACAACTTTGTGTTCTGATGGTCTTGCCAATATATTGTACCAATTAGCTGTGAGCTGCTGCTAAATTCTACCTTTCTGATACAGGGAGGATTGGGTGTCACTAAAAAACAAAATAGATTAATGCTGTAGCTACTTTGTGGATATCAATATATTTGTTTCATAAGTGAGATCAGATATGATTAAATGTAGAAATAAAAATATTCAGACTAACAGCATCATAGAGTCCCTAAAGTGTGGAAACAGGCCGTTCAACCCACACTGACTCCCCAAAGAGCATCTCACCCAGATCCATCCCCCTACGCTATATCCATGCAACCCTGCATCATGTAAAAACCTAAACCATATTCTGTGGGATGTTTGAATACAAATGCACTGACAATAGTTAATTGATTTTCAATGTTAACACCCATCTTTATAAAGACTAAGTCTCTATTTCACATTGGAGGTTTAGTACTGATGCATGACTCGTAACACAGAGACCCACGTAAAGTTCTGGAGGCCCAGGCTCAAATCACACCATAGATGGTTAAATTTGATTTCAATAAAAATCTGGAAGTAATGTCTAGTGATGACCAAGAAACCATTGTTATAATAATCCAACTCGTCCACTAATGTCACTTAAGGAAATCAGCCATCCTTACCTGATCTCGCCTACATGACTCTAGGCCCACAGCTATGTGGCTGACTCTTAACTACTCCCTGAAATGGCCTAGTAAGCCACCCTGTTCATGAACAACAAATGCAATGTCCACATCTCAAACAATTAAAAAAAAAAAAATCACTTGTCAGAAGGTGCAAAGGTTTGGAATTCTGGGTTGCCATACAGTGGGATATACTTGTCTATGGGTTGAGAAACCACAAAAACATCTTCAGCAAGAAATGGCAAGAAGAAATAAAAACACTGTTTGTACTGGAGTATCCACAGTATGAACTGAGGGTTAACAATACTCAATTTTACCTTAAATACTACACTCAAACCACACAACGTGATTATTTCCTGCACAAAATTCTGCGGTTATTTGAAAGTCATGCAATCACAAAAAAAAAAATCAATAATAATGTAAGTTAAATTGGATAATCTTAGCCTAATTATCCAGCAAGACCTAGTACAATCCACTATATAAAAGTGTCCTTGTGGTACATTAGAGACTGTACCAATGTCCCAGGAGGTCCTGGATCAAGTCCCACTTGCTCTGGAAATGTGAAATATCACTTAACAGGTTGATTAGAAAACATCTATTGACCACCACAGCATCCAGCTGTTTCCCAGACAATTTCATTTACTAATCTACCTAGAAACCCCATGCAGCTGTTAACCATTCTTTATGTCAAAAAGTTGTTGACAAGGATCTAAATCATTGAGAGAAAAATCAAGACAACCTTTCTTTATGGATAGTATTTTTAGCTGCTGCTCTATGCCTGGAATCTGATTGATGTGGCAGCGAGGGAGAGAAGCAGTTTGTGTGCAAGTAGGAAGGGGAGAGCAGGCAGTGTGGTGGCTGGAATGGCATAGCATAGCAGGTGAGGAATATCACTTGGCAGACACCACAAGGAGAGCTTCGTCAGCCTTGGCCTCCACCTCCAAGTAATGAATCATCGTTCTGGTGCCAACTACCCTATTTCCTCAGAACTCCAGTAGTGCCATCATTGAAACTGGCTGCTGCTTTTAGTCACTTAAGAATGGTAGAGTGGCTCTGCATACATCTGTGCTCTTTGAGTCAGTGACAGATGGTGTTTGCTACAAATGCAGTCATCTACACACCCAGAGAAAACAATGTGGTGAAATATTAGCTTCGGGCCAGTATTGTGCAGCTATTTACAAAAACAATATTGGCAGAATGCTAGGATTTAAGGAAGAAGATGGACATCCAGTCTCTTTTGCCCCAGATTGATCTATCGTACAGTGCACATTTAAAACAGGTTTTAAAAACCTTCCACACACCGATCTCATCCAAGGTGAAGTTTATGACTGCTGAAGTTCGATTCCCTAGTTGATTTGAAGCAGTTACCCAAGCTGAATAAACCGAGGATGGGTTGAAAACATGCCCAGATTCACTTGCAAAGTGCAGCAGCCTTTGGACCTCTAAAGTCTTCTTCTGCTTTGTGCAATTTCCAGTTGACAACGTTGCAGAGGTTTTTGATGCAAAGAAACTGTGTGACTCATTTTTGAACCTGAAAAACATATTACATGATTTTTAAAAACCAATCTTTGCATTTGAAATGAAAAGGTGCAATATTTTATTCTGTGCACTAAGAGAACAGCAATAGCAATAACCAAGGTGCAAGATCAAGTTCAAAATGACTCTACAAAACACAAACTATGTCTAAATTATTTAACATTCACATGATTGGTATCTGCTAAGCTGCTAGATATGTTATTAGGCAGATGAGAATTTTTTTTTGCCAGACAACCTACGTTCTGTACAATATCATTATACCAAGACCGTGCATGTTGGACAGTGTGAGTGTGCAGTCATAGTGTGATAGATAATGGTCTCTCAGATGGCTGATGGCTCTCAGATGGTCCCATTGGGAACACCCAGCATGGGTTCATGAAGGGTAGGTCATGTTTAACTAATTTGGTGGAATTCTTTGAGAACATTACCTGCATGGTGGACAATGGGGAACCTGTGGATGTGGTGTATCTGGATTTCCAGAAGGCATTTGACAAGGTGCCACATCAAAGGCTGCTACGTAAGATAAAGTTGCACGGCATTACAGGTAATGTATTGGCATGGATAGCGGATTGGTTGACCAGTAGAAAGCAAAGAGTAGGGGTAAATGGGTGTTTTTCTGGTTGGCGATCAGTGGCTAGTAGTGTGCCTCAGGGATCAGTGTTGGGACCTCAATTGTTTACAATTTACGTAGATGATTTGGAGTTGGGGACTAAGTGTGGTGTGTCAAAATTTGCAGATGACACTACGGTGAGTGGTAGAGCAAAGAGTGCAGAAGTCACTGAAAGTCTGCAGAGGGATATAGATAGTCTAAGTGAGTGGGCGAAGGTCTGGCAGATGGAGTACAATGTTGATAAGTGTGAGGTCATCCATTTTGGTAGGAATAACAGCAAAATGGGCTATGTTTTAAATGGTAAAAAATTGCAGCACGCTGCTGTGCAGAGGGACTTGGGTGTCCTTGTGCATGAATCGCTGAAGGTGGGATTGCAGGTGCAGCAGGTAATTAAAAAGGCAAATGGAATTTTATCTGCCATTGCTTGAGGGATGGAGTTTAAAAACAGGGAGGCTATGCTGCAGCTGTATAGGGACCTGGTGAGGCCACACCTGGAGTACTGTGTGCAGTTTTGGTCTCCTTACTTGAGAAGAGATATACTAGCACTGGAGAGGGTGCAGAGGAGATTCACCCGGTTGATTCCAGAGTGGAGAGGGTTGGATTATGAGGAGAGACTGAGTAGACTGGGATTATACTCATTGGAATTCAGAAGAATGGGGGGAGATCTTATAGAAACATATAAGATTACGAAGGGAATAGATAAGGTGGAGGCAGGGAAGTTGTTTCTGCTAGCAGGTGAAACCAGGACTAGAGGGCATCGCCTCAAAATAAAGGGAAGCAGATGTAGGACTGAGGTCAGGAGGAACTTCTTCACCAAAGGGTTATGAATCTGTGGAATTCCCTGCCCAGTGAATTGGTTGAAGCTACCTCGCTGAATGTTTTTAAGGCAAGGCTAGATAAATTTTTGAACAGTAAAGGAATTAAGGGTTATGGTGATTGGGCGGGTAAGTGGAGCTGAGTCTCAAAAAGATCAGCCATGATCTTATTAAATGGCAAGGCAGGCTCGAGGGGCCAGATGGCCTACTCCTGCTCCTAGTTCTTATGGCTGATTGGTGCATTACCATATACGTTTTTCCTGATGTCAACAGATCAACATTTAAAACCATCACAGAGAGAGGGGGAGAAGACAGGTTTACAGAAGTTGCAGTTGAAGCAGAATGTTTCACCAACCGGCATGGTTAAAGACAGAACCATTGCATAGTTTAAGGAGGAAAAAAAAAATCTACATAAGTAGTTGAAACAAGTCAACACATGGGGTTATAGAAAAGAAAAAAAAACATACAATGAACAGGGGTATTAGTGGAGTTGCTCCAGCAAAGTAACTGCTTTCTTTTGTGCTATAAATATCTTATGTTTTATAGGATGTGCTAGTTGCTGCCTGGAGGGGATAAAGAGATTGTTGAAGATGGAAGACAAGGAGGTGAATGATAGTCAGATTCCCATGCAGGAGTTCAATCATGAACTAGTCAAGTTTGGACATCAAAGCATTTACAAAATAGATGCAAGAATATTCACAGCATATGTTTTGTTTTGAAGGTACAAATTTCAAGGCAGAGTGGCCTTACATTCTGATTCATCTCCATCATTCAGTCATGTTTAAAGGCAACATCAGTGTTAAAACTAGAAAATCTCACCACAATATATGATTTGTACTGATGTGCATGATGCGTCCTATAAACCAGCTGCATGATACATCACCTTCTCTTCCATTTTGAATGCATTTCAAGTTTTGGGGCTGATCTGGAGGATCTGAAACAACAAAATTTGGAATTTTTGATGCAGAATTATTTCCTAGAAATTTTTAAACATTTGTCACCATAAGGCACATAATGCAATGAACTAGTGAATGGTAGTGACAGGCATGAGAGCTATTTTGCACCAGTAATGCTACACACACAGCAAAGATAACAATCTTAAAAATAGAAAATGCTGCAAAAATACATCAACTAGCACGTGTAAATAAAAAAAGGACAGTTTAAGCTTTTGGTGTAAGATACTTCCTCAACTCAAATTTGTAAAGTAACCAAGCTCTTAAGTAAGATGGCATGTTCTGTATTAGAAGTGGAGGCAGTAACACTGGTGAGAGAAACAGAAGAACTTCCAACTTTTCTCCAAGTTGTAAATGGAGTCCTTAGTGGCCATCTTAAATCACCAGTACAGGCAAAAGAGAGTATTGGTTTAAAGTCTTTGAACTTTCAACAATGCAGCAATCCATCAGAATCTGACAATAGGAGGTTCATTGGAAGAATGCATTCTTCCAAGGAGTCATTGGAGAACCAATCCCACATTAAGTGCTGCCACTCCTTTGCACAGCTGAGAGAGTCAAGTTTGTGTAACATGTATCTCTGTATTAGCTGTTGGTTGATAGGGGGCCAGTAAGTTACAAGCTTGCAACAATTTAAAAAGAGGGTGCACTTTTGAATGACTGTAGAGGTTGCAGAAGATACCAGAGTTTCAGCAGAGTTCTGAGGTTCTCATAAATAGACAGTTAAGAGGAACAATGCCCATTTTCAATGAATATTTGGGTGGTGTCAAAGTTAGTTGGTGATGGGGCTCAAGTGCATGCAAACAGCATGAAGAAATTTAGTGAACTTGCTAGGAATGCCAAAATTTTCATTAAATTAGTTTATTAATTTTTGCAAAACTCTGTAGGATTCCACCTTTTCTTCAGGACTAATAATCCTTCATCCACCACCTCCCCGGTTCTTCAAAAGACCAGGGTAAACTTAACTGCATCTTCTTTCTGATTGAAGGTTTTGAGTACAAAAGTCTTCACAACATTTTCTCCCCTTTGCTCATACTTGTTGCTGGTTTCTGTCATCATGCACATTACAGTAAATTGGCTAAAACATGGTGAGAGTTGAAGGCCCTTGCTTGGGACATGTATTTAACCATATCTAATTTTCTTGCAGGAATGACATAGCAGCAGTGAGGGGACCAGGGTCTGCGAGAGAAACTGCAAATTTACTACTCCTGACATAATCTGAAGATGCGCTTCAGTCAGTATCTGAGCATTGGCCCCTATTTCAGGATAATGTTATGTAGCATAAGGAAAAACATGATCAAACAGGATACAGTGGGCTTTCCTGCAGGAAACCACTAGTGTGCTGTAAAAATCTGAACAATTGTTCAAGGATTCCAAAAGATCTACTCAATGAAGTTTCTAGGTGACTTTCCGATGAACTGTAGCAGACTTCAGTTGCTGTTGTTGCCACCCTTTCAATTAGCTTCAAATCAGACAGGACATACAATAATGGACTAACTTGAATCAGACAAGACAGTTTTACATCTCAGTTTATCTCCCACTAAAAGTGAAAATCCTATTCAATTTAGACGATTCATTGGTTGTTGTCAGAAAAGCTGTGTGGGACTTTAGGAAGAGATGTTTTTCTTCCACTATTAAGTCAGTTGTTTTTTAAAATTGTTAAGGGCATTGAAAAAGTCTCCCATTCCAATATTCTCAAAGTTGAAGGATCTGACAATAGTGTTTGAAGCAGCTGTCGTGGAAGGCCTGTGACTGATGGGTGGAAATAGAAAGTTGGGATAGTCAGGCAGTGAGGCTGCAAAATGGTAGTGGCACCTTAAATGACATTGTTTCACACACTCCCTGGAATTAAACTTAATTTACCCTTCTTTCCTGAAAACCAGGTTGATAAGGAAAGTGTTGAATTTTATCAATTATAAGATTTGTGGGTGACAATATTTCATTTCCATCTGGCATCATTCCATTTTGAGGCAAATGGAGAGTTACAGAAAGCAAAAATAATCCCTATTGATTTCCTAAGCCATTACAACAGTCGGCAAACGATCCTTGGGCTTTGAATCAAGGAGCAAAGGAAGGTGAGGTACAGATAAATAAAAGGACAGCAAAGCAGGAAGTCCACTCAGCTTCAATACCATGCTCCGTGATTTCCAACAGCACATGCTGCAACAAAGTCTATATTTGAAAACTGAACTCTTCAGCCACTCATGGTGTTAAAGCTTGACAGTGACTGAACTGTTTTGCCAGTCACACCATCCCCTTTTAAAACGTTTAGTTGTCATATATATAGCAAACCAAAGACAAAACCTAACAAAATTTATTGTTAGCATACAGTATATTCATTTCAATCAATAAAATTAAAAATACCACTTACAGCCAGCTTTAATATCAATTCCGCAAATCAAGTGTTCCGTATTGCAAAGCTTACAGGCAAAACTGGACTTATCGTTTGTAAACTTTGGAATGTGCGCAATAACTGCATTGGTGAGGATCTGTACAGTATGTAGCGGTATGGTGTTGTCTTGAATAATACATAGCTGTGGAGCTGTACATTCATTGCAGATTGACCCCTTTAATATACATGATACGTTAATGCTTGATCCAAATCTAATTATGGATGCAGGGCTGACTTGCATTTCCCCATCAGCACAGGATTCTGGAACAAGATGACAACATTTTCAAAATCATTTTAGAAGCTAGAAAAGCTTCAACATTTAAAGAAAGTGCTTTTCTGTTATATTTCTGTTTGCTAGCGATACCCTGCTTGTTTGAATTTTGTTAACTTTTGCCTGCTAATATTACCAGTGAAATTTTAATTTTTATGTCCTTACAGTGCAGATCTTTCCATACATTAGTACAGTTCAAGAACACCTCAATGCTTGTGGAGCATTTTGGGATGTTCTCACATTGTTCACAATGTTACCTCAAAAGCTGTGCATGTGTGCAGCTGCTCTGGGGAGGTCCACGCATGCCAATCAGCATGCCGATGATGTTTGTAACAGTCTTCCAGATCCAGACCCTGGACGTCCATCTGAAGAAGGGCCCCGACCCGAAACGTCAACTTTCCAGTTCCTCTGATGCTGCCTGGCCTGCTGTGTTCCTCCAGTTCCACACTCTTATCTCTGACTGCAGCATCTGCAGTTCTTACTATCTCTGCACTATAAATCACATCTTTTTTTTTCATTCCTTCTTTCTGTCCATGTGAAGGTGGCCTCTGTGTATTCAAATATTCATTTGGCTGTGCAGAACTTCAGTATTACTGAAAAGCCGATAGTTTGTTGAAACTTTTCATCTTGTATTCATCAGGAGACTTTGCAAGAGAAAAGGAAACTAAAAACTTTTTATATATACACACACATGAGAAGAGAATGCTGACTGATTGCTAGAGGCATTGCCATGGGCAAATTCAACAGTTAGGTATTGACTGAGTTACCTCCTAAAATTTGGTAAAATTGAAATAAAGCAGGTTGCCTCTGATTGGTCAGAGCATTGTCCTGAGAAATGAACCGGAGAATGACCGTCATAGTCAGATATGTACAGCACAGAAATAGACCCTTCAGTCCAACTCCTCCATGCCAACCAGATATCCTAAATTAATCTAGTCCCATATGCCGGCATTCAGCCCATTTCCCTCTAAACCCATCCTATTAATGTACCCATCCAAATGCCTTTTAAACGTTGTAATTGTACCAGCTTCCACCACCACCTCTGGCAGCTTGTTCCATACGCGCACTACCCTGTGTGAAAAGTTACCCCTTAGGACCTCTTTGAATCTTTCCCCACTCATCTTAAACCTGTGCCCTCTAGTTTTGGATTCACCCACCTTGGAAAAAAGACCATGACTATTCACCTTATCTGTGCCCCTCATGATTTAATTAACCGCTACAACATCACCCCTCAGCCTCTAATGCTCCAGTGAAGAAAGCTCCAGCCTATTCAGCTTCTCCCTATAGCTCAAACCCTCCAATCCCAGCAACATCCCTGTAAATCTTTTCTGAACCATTTCAAGTTTCACAATGTAGTGTGCGTTCCAAGCCTAATAGATCAACTAGATTCTAGATTGACTACAGAAAAATAAATGCACGCTCAAAAATAGATTTATACTCAATTCCTCAATTGCAAGATTGTATTGTTAGAAAGTAATAACACATTACCAATCCTAAGAGTTATTTACTGAAGGGTTATTGGGAAATGTCATTAACAAAGGCTAAACAGATATCCACTAGTGTCACACAAGGTCAAGTCAATGCCATTTGAGTTGAAAACCATCCCACCTACATAGTAAAAACTTATGAATAAAGTCCTAGCCTGTGTAGATTATTTAGGCAATGTCACAATATACAGTAACACACGGGACGAGTATGTAAGGATTCTCTTTTATTTTCATGAGCCACATGTCTCAAACATCATACATTTAAAGTCTGTACCTTATCTGCAGTTCCCTTTATGGCCTTTCTCCATCCTAGCACTGCATTCTCAACTAGCTCTCTTATCCTCTATCAAGTTTTTTGTTTCCAAGTCCAAGTTTCCATAGATAGTCCCTCATATTCCTTTTCCATCAGTGACTGAGAATTTAACAGCTCGATCAATCAACCAACATTACATGTTTAGGATAAAAAGATAATTTTGCAAAAAAAAACCCAAGTTTGTCTTAAATCTCCTATGGCTGAGACAAGTGAAATTACACAACTGTTCACTTTGAATCAACAGCTGTTTATTTTGCATAGACAAGTGCAAGCTGACCTCTTATACCAAATACATTCCAGCTAAGACTGCTTTGTTGATGTGAAACCAATGCAGCGAGAGAAGAACAGGGCCCTGTGTATTAACATATAGCTTACATTATGCATGAATATATCACATTGCAAGCACCAACTGACAAATCTAAATTGGTAATCTTAAACAATGGCAATAAATTTAAAGTGTAAAATTGCCATCTGAGTTAATGGGTGGGGTTAAGTACCCATTATGTCTCAATTTCTCACTAAATATTGTTTTCTGGAATTGCAAGATAACAAATTAAATTTATTAGTCTCTGGATGACATGGGGCTAAATGAACCATGGTGTTACCAGCAAATATGGATCAGGAAGCTTATATGTACGTGCTGAGCTAGTTGATCGTAGGAGAAGCCATATTACGCCAAATGAAGTCAGCCAAAGAACTTTTCTGAAAAGGTAGTCAGTCATCGATACCTGCTGTTTTCAAGGGGAACGTGATTTGGCACTACAGCGACAGCTCCGGAGATTAAATATTGAATGACTAGTCAACGTCAAGGCCAATAAACAATGCCAGAAACAAAAACAAAGTGCTGGAGAAACTCAGCACAACTGGTGGCCACCATAGAGAAACAGAGTTAATGTTTTGAGTCCAGTGACCCTTTGTCAGAATACTGGGATCCGAAACTTTTACTGTTTCGCTCTACAGATGTTGCCAGACCTGCTGAGATTCTCCAGCACCTTCTGTTTCTCTTTCAGATCTCCAGCATCCGTAGTCTTTTGGTTTTAATCCAACATGACGTTGTCAAGGGAAGCAAATAAAACAAAAACAATGTCAGTCCACTTGAGCAATACACTTTAAACTCAAACGATTTACACCACAGTAAAATCAATACATATAATCATTTAATGCAACTTACCAGCCGCCTTGTTCTCGCACAATAAGATGGCAATTAGTTTGGTTAACAAATATATTCCAACAAACTCCATCAAACAAAACAAGGGAAGCTTGGGATCTTGAAACCCCAGATTGTAGGCTGGTCCTGTAAAGTGGTTATGCAACAGTCTTACTTCCAGATTTCAGATCTGATCCACATTTGCCAGCTGCACATATTTCCACCTTGTTGTTCCACCACCAGTCAGTCAATCTCAGTGCAATTTCTGGTGCTCACCGTATAATTTGATCTTCGGCTGCCTCAGAAAAGATGCAAGGATGGAAATAGAAATAGTAGACTTGTACTGTCCTTTCCAATTGATGTGCAAAGAAACATTGCCATTCATCCCTGTTGCAGGGTCAAAACTCTCGAACTCTCTTCCTAACAGCACTGAAAGCAAAATATTGATCTAGTTAGGAAATTGGTTATGTGTTAGAAGGTAATTATTAAGTATAATGCCCATGGACACGATTCAGAAGAAAGTGGTTAATGATATTCCATGGGCCATCTGAATTTACACCTCAACTATTTATCATAATTAATAACTTAAATAATTCAGAGCCATACATCCAAGTTTACAAGTCATATAAAAATGGGTGGTCTAGCAAATATTACACATGCAAGTATAAAATGAGAGTAATGTTGATTTAGTGATTTGTAAAACTATGCAGATGGATTTCAATGCTTTTAAGTGTGATGTGGGGATGGACAAGAAATGTTGGCCAGCCAACGTCGTCCACATCCCAGAAACGAATAGAAACAAAAAAACCACAGATTAGCATTGCAAGCAGGAACTGAGACTGCATCATCAGGAGCCGGCCTGACTCGTTATTCTGCCTTGATAAAAGTTTGATCCCAAGTCTCTAATCAAGCCCAGGATCTATTATGTCTTATTAACCACTTTGTTGAACTGCCCTGATACCGTCAATAATCTGTGTACATACACCTCCAGGTCTGTCTGCACCAGCACTCCTTTTATTTTGTGGTGCTTTCAATCAAAATTTATCACTGTACGTTTCTTTGCATTTAGATTTTGCAGCCTTCTGCCTAATCCATCACCCTGACTGTGTCTCTTGAAGTATGTCCCTATCTGGTTCAAGATCCTTGCAGCTCATCTAAAATTTGAATTGTGCTCTGTACACCCAAGTCAAGGTCATTACTAAGACTATGGATTTTCTTTATCTATATTAATGACCTCTGGAGAACCCACTGTTAATCTTTGTACAGTCTGATAAACATTCATTTACTACTACTTTGTTTCCTGTCACCTGCCTGACTTTACATCCACGTCACCACTGTTATTTATACTCCATGGAACTCAATTTTCTGATAAACCTATAATATGACACTTCTTTAGAATGCCTTCTGGGCCTTTGATTGTATGTGTACACCACATCAGCTCTTTCCCTTTGCTGCATCTAAAATCTCAAGTTGTTCATTAAAGCATGATTTCAATCCATGCTTGATTTTCTTAAATAAGATGACCTGGGATGAAACAATCCAGATGGGTTAACTTCCTTCCTGATCCATAATTATGACCTTGGATGCCCTAAATATTCAAATTTACTGCTGTGTTTGGGTGTTCTGTCTGTTTAAGTCATAAAAGTCAGTGATAATAAAAGTCTTGTGATTTATTTCTGAATGCAATTTTCAAAAGCTCCATTCTGTCATTTATCTTATATTAATTTCACCTGTTTAAATTTTCAGTCGACTGATGTTTGCTTAAAAAAGTCACTTGAATTTCCTTACAGGTCTTACAGGAAATTTTTTTTTAAAATATATGTAATCATGTTGCAGCCAATGATATAAACAGTTCAATAGTATTGCTTCTTATTCAAACAACAGAACCTTGCAGAAAACCAATCTGAAGTTGGGAGTATTTATCAGTGAGTTTGTTGCACAATAACTGCAGATAGAGTAAGGTGTGAACAAATTTGCCATGTACTCTAAACACAGATGAAGGGCAGGCTTGAATCTTTTGAATTCTAAACCATGTTTGTTAGCATGCAGGTGTGGGAATATTTTTAGGATTATTTTTGAATTTTCAAATAAAGTCAGTTTTCATTTCAAACAATGAAGTCAGGATTTGAAGTTAGGGAGAAGGAAGATAATGAGTGTTTATTCTTTTTTTAATAGGCAACATGCCAAAGCTAGAAAACTATGTTATGCTCACTTCCCCAGCTGTGCAAAGATGTCTGTCTCCAGTCACCATTGTTGTTTAAGTTAGGAAAGGGGGAAGAGGAAATTGGAGATAATTTGCACACAATTATGTAATTAATTACAAAATAAGTTGCGAGAGAGTCTGTGGAGAAAGATGAATGGTAACTGGAGGGGGTAACTTTTTGGCTTCAAGTTAAAGTTTAGCACTGGGAACGCTATCCAAAATATAAAATAGAATTTAATTTTATTTATATAGTCCTTCTAGTCAATCAACCTTTTCATCGGATCTTGTGGCCCCGAGTCAGAAGTCCTGGCTCCACAATCCCAACCTTTAAAAGCCATTGTTAAAACATCAGGCTTTTGGTCAGTGTGGGAGCTGTGCCATTTGGCAGGAAAACCCCATAAGAGTGTTCATGTCCCTGATGTGGGTTGGGGAGAACGTCTGCCTGGGGGAGCATGCTAAATTTAAAAGTAAAGATTCGGTTAACGGTTAACGGAAAGATTCTTGGCAGTGTGGAGGAGCAGAGGAATCTTGGGGTTCATGTTCACAGTTCCCTGAAAGCTGCCACCCAGGTGGATAGAGTTGTTAAGAAGGCGTATGGTGTGTTAGCTTTCATTAATAGAGGGATTGAGTTCAAGAGCTGTGAAGTTATGCTCCAGCTATACAAAAACCTGGTTCGGCCATATCTGGAGTATTGTGTCCAGTTCTGATCACCTCATTACAGGAAAGATGTGGAAGCATTGGAAAAGGTGCAGAGGAGATTTACCAGGATGTTGCCTGGAATGGAGGGAAGGTCTTATGAGGAAAGGTTCAGAGAGCGAGGGCTTTTCTCTTTAGAACGACGAAGGATGAGAGGTGACTTGATAGAGGTGTACAAAATGATCAGAGGTATAGATAGAGTAGACAGCCAGAGACTTTTTCCTAGGGTGGAGGTAGCTTTTACGAGGGGGCATAGTTTTAAAGTGAAAGGAGGTAGATATCGGGGAGATGTCAGAGGTAGGTTCTTTACTCAGAGAGTGGCAGGGGCGTGGAATGCATTGCCGGAGAGGGTAGTGGAGTCGGCCTCATTAGGGGCATTTAAGCGGCTATTAGATAGGCATATGGATGATAGTATAAGGTAGCAGTGGAGGTTAGATAGACCTTAGGTTTCGGGTAAAAGTACGGCACAACATTGTGGGCTGAAGGGCCTGTACTATGTTGTACTGTTCTATGTTCTATGTCATTCATACTGGACCAATAAAGGGCACAAAGTACATTTTAAAAGAATATGAATCTAGGAACAGTAGAGAATCAAAGAGATTGAGGAGTCCATATACACACAGTCAAATGTAGTGGCCAGATAAAAATAAATCCAGAAGGTTAGCAAATGTTTTCCGTTACAGCTAGGGGATTAGAACAAAGGAGAAAATGGGGACATCAAGCTTAAAAAAAACACCAGGCTATTCAGGAAACTTCAAAAGTATTTTATTGGCTGTGAAGCAGCAGGGAGTGGTAGAAGCATGGAACTCTTTCCTACAAAGAAAAATGATATGTGCTGTTAAAATCCCTGATGAAGCACCGAATTGTGTTTCCAAAATGGTCAGGGATAAATAACAGTGTTTTAAAGTAGCAACAACTGAGACCCAAGATCATTACTAAGAGAATATAGCCACAATATTCCATGGTTTGAACAAACAAGTTTAAACTTTGCTACACAAGGTTATTAAGGATGAAACAACACAACCTTATATTCTAATCTCCAGAACTGAAGCAAGAGAAATATGAGTTAACAGACAAATTGTGGCTGATAGATGCAGTTAAAGCAGATCCCATCAATTATTCAGCTTACCAACTAAATGGTAGATATACTGTGGATCACCAAATCTCCGTAAAATTCATTTTTGCAATTCATTCTAAGTGTCCTTTGAAGGCCTGACTTTGGAATTTCCCTCAAAAGCCACTTCACAGATTATCTCAATTGATCACTCACAGCCTCCTAGTTCATTCGCTTTACCTGATACAGTGTTCCACTAGACTCCCACTATTACATTCCAGAATCTACTCATGGGAACAATTCCAGCTCTTTCACAGACCATAAAAATACACCCCTTAGTCTTAAAACCTTCAGCCAATTCAGTGTCTCAGCTGCTGAGACAGTCACTGCAACCTCAGCAACATCATTACCCTTGATGAAGACAGATGTAAAAATACTCATTTAGTACCTCAGCTGTGCTGCCACCATGTGCAAATCTTCTTTTTGAATCTTTGTTTACCATCTTTTTACAAGTTATACATCTACAGAAGACTTCCTTTCATGTTAACTGCAAGTCTTTTCTTATACTCTTTTTGCTTCTCATTTGTTTTTTTGACTTCCCGTCTGAATATTTAATATTCATTCAGTCTGGTTCATACATATATAGCACCACAACATGCAAGCTCCCCTCCAAGCTGTACACCATACTAACTTGGAATTTTGCATCATTCCTTTACTCCAGTAGTTCAAAATTCTGGAACTCTCTCCCCAACACCACTATAAGTTTACTTATACCCCATGACTGTAGTCATTCAAGATGATGGCAGACCATCACCTTGTCAAAGGCAGTTGTATTATCAACTTGACATCTGTAATAAGCAGAGATAGTAGGAACTGCAGATGCTGGAGAATCCGAGACAACAAGGTGCAGGGCTGGATGAACACAGCAGGCCAAGCAGCCTGCTGTGTTCATCTGTAATAAGCAGCCTTTTTCCTGATTCATTTGCTTTCTCTCTTTCATCATTTGGATTAGGTTTGTCCTACTTCTATACCACCTGGGAATGTACTTCAACTGAAAATCATTGCCTTAAAGGCCAACTTATTGATCAATTATAGTTTTGCTTGATTCAAATTTATCTGGACCACATCAGTTCTCACCATTGAGATTGGACTCACTCAATTCATTACTATACTCTGGAATTTTCCACACATGTAACCTGGACTTTTTGATACTTCGTTTGCTGGCCCTTGCATGTTTTTCCAGACTTTTAACAAAAAAAATCAACGTGCTCAGATGTATCATCTGCTGAAGCAGGTGGGACTTGAACCAGGTCTCCTACTTACAATTGATCCACTGGTTTCAGCTCATCCCCCAGAAACAGAAACTGCCTCTTTGGAACAGAAATATACTAATGTAGACAATTAACGTAACATACTTTACAAAGGCTACTTAAAGTCCCCCATCTGAAGTCTTCTAATCTGAAGTTTTTTCTGCATCAGTCTATCATTTCCTTGCAAATTTGTTCCACTATCTTTCTCACCAGTTGGTTCCCTTTGAAATACACAAAAATGTAATGGATTTTCTACTATTTCTGTTCTCAGCAATAAAATTTTGTCCTTGAACTTCAAAGATCATCCTCACTCTGCAGCACTGTAATATTATTCTTTATCAATATTGTCATCCTGTCTCCTTCCTTTCCTGAACACCTTGCATCCAGTTATTGTTTTGAGCCAAGCATCCATTATTGCCACATCATACTTTCGCTTGACTACCTACATCAGCAGCTCACCAACATTACTGTTTGCACAGAATGTGATTAGACACAGTTTGTGAACCCAAATCAGGCTAATCACATTTCCTCTTGTTCTGAAAGCCACCCATGCCTTTTTTTTAAATTTCTTTTCTTGTGCCAGCTGCTTCACCCAATTCTTTGTGAATCTTGCATTCCCTTTCTAATGATTCCCAAACCCCTCCATGTTAATTCATTCCTTCTACATCTTTCTTGAAATAGCAAACTGTCACTGGTCCCAGTTCTATTCAGATGCAACCCATCCAACCTAGTCGAGGTCCCAGCACCTCAAGGACTAGCCCCAGGAATCTAAGACCTTCCTTCAAGCACCATCTCTCAAGCCATGCATTTGCTTTACATTGATTTCTAATTTTGCTAATGCATGGCACAGGGCATAGCATTTTCCAGACTATCTTTAAGGTCTTCCTTGCTGGTTTCTTTTCTAGCTACCTCCAGTCTACTTACATATCCCTCTTTTTACCTATGTTCTGATCCAGATCATGGCTACTGTTTGTTCATCTACCCCTTCAGGATGCTCTGCAGCCACTCAACATTCTTGACAGTTGGACCAGGAAGGCATAAATTCAATGATCATTGCAATGCAAATGTGGCAATATAGTAACAGATTTAGAGCATTCAAGTTTACTTAAAGATTACTTGAACTGCCAGTATTCCATTGACAGGATAAACAAAATACAAGCTTTCTGTAGTGTGAGAAACCTGATATTTTCCATTCTAATTGAACGGTCCCAGAAATTAGGGAATTTTGGATAATTTTTAAAAAAAAAAACAATGCATTAACTCGCTCACCAGCTACTTTTTTTTTAAGACCCAAAATGAAGTCTTAGAACCTGGGGTCTTACCAGCCTGCAGCTCCCAACAATTTACTCATTAGTGACTAATTTTCTGGTGTTCCACCCTCCGTCCCTTTCCTGATTTAGAGCTAGAGCAATTTCTACATGTTACTTGCATCATTTTTCTTGTTTCAGGATACAAAAAAAACTGTTCATCTGCTAACTTCTTACCTTCCATTATTACTTCCCCTGTCTCTCTCTGTCGGACCAACACTCATCTTACTAACTCTTATTCTTTTTAGGTATCTATAGAAACTCTTACTTTTTAAACATTTCCAGCTAGCTTTCTCTCAATCTAATTTTCCATCCCTTAAATTTTTTTGTAAACCATTGCAAGTTTTCTTATATTTTATCATTTTATCTTTTTGCAATTATTAGCTTCATTTAATTTGACACACTCAACTTTTTAGTTAAGTATGGATGGTGGGTCCTCCCCTTGGACTTTTTCTATTGAATGTATCTACCCTGCATATTCTGAAATATCCTCTTAAATCATCTGCTACTGCATCTCTAAGGATCCATCAATCAACCTAATTTGCCAGCTCATGTCAGCTAGCTCTGATGCATACATTACCCAAGGCAAGACATACTGGCATTGGAGACAGCCCAGAGAAGGTTCACTTGGTTCATTCCGAGTATGCAGAGAATTTCTTATGAGGAGACGTTGTGTAGACTGGGTCTGTACTTATTGGAGTGTGCAGAATGAAAGGAGACCTTTTGAGCATAAGGCTATTAAGAAGCTTGACAGGGTGGATACAGAAAGATCCCCCCCATGCGAAAGTCTAGGGCAAGAGGGTAACATCCGAGTAAGGGTTTGCCCATTTAAAGACAGATGAGAAGGATCATTTTCTTTCAGAGGGTAGTCAATCCATGCAAAAATCACAGAGGGCCGTCAAGACTGGGTCATTAAGTATATTCAAGGTTCTGATAGATATGTTTATTCAATGAAATCAAGGGGTTTGGGAAAAAGGCAATTAAGTAGAGTTGAGGATGATCAGGTCAACCATGAACCCATCCAACAATGGAACAGACCCAATGGGCAGAATGGCCTTCTTTTGCTTCTTATGGTCTTATTTAATCAAGCTTTAATACTATTCTTGAATACACTACATACTCTCAAAATTATGACTACTGCTACATAGAAGCTCCTTCACTAGGCGTTCATTAATTAATACTGTCTCACTTGCACACTATTACCACTGGTTGGGGATTCTAGAGGTAGGGGCTTTACTATTTGATAGCCTACATGCTACAAACCTGCTTCCATGCACTACCCATAGTGACAGGCCTGAGCCTGCAATGAGTAACCTCCTCATTGCTGATAGTGCCTGTGTCCCTGCAGGATTAGTACGTCAACAAAGTAAAGTAGACCTTTTAAAAAAAAAAGTAGCCATTCTGCCCCTCAAGCCTGCTCTGCCATTAAACAAGATCATGGCTGATCTGTGGCCCAACTCCACAATGCCTACCTTTGGCCCATATCCCTTAATACTTTAAAAAACTTTTATCTCTCAAGATTTAAAATTAACAACTGATCTAGCACAAACTGTGGAAGAGAGTTCCAAACATCTACCATCCTTCGTGTGTAGAAGCACTTCCTAACATCTCTCCTGAATGATTTGGCTATGGCCCCTCCCTCTAGAATCCCCAACCAGTGATAATAGTGTAAATAATGATAACCTATCTTTTCCTGTTAATATCTGGAAGACTTCAATCCGATCTCCCCTTAACCTTCCAAATTCTGCAGGAAACATGTCTAATTTGTATAATCTCTTCAAACAATTTAACCACTAAAGTCCAGGCATCATTCTTGCAAACCTAAGTTATATTCCCTCAAAGGGAATATCATTCCTAAAATGTGGTGCCTCGATCTACTCTCAGTACTCCAAGTGGAGTCTAAACAGGGTTTTTGTACAATCGCAGTATCAAGTTTGAATTCTTATATTGGGATCCTCTAGATTCAAAGGTCAGCAATCCATTAGCCACCTTAATTATTTTCTCCACCTGTTCCTGACATCTTAAAAGATCTATGCCCCTGAACCCCAAGCCTCTTTGGACACCCACTGTATTTAACGTCATGCCAACCAGAAAATACCCTGGTCTATATTTTTTTTCGGTTGGCACTGATGATCAGAGGAACATTTTTTTTCTATACTGCTTTTTCCACACGTCATCTATATAGTATACTTCTTTGAAAATGAATGAAATAAATGAGCCGGCAACGAGATCATATCGTGGTCTTTACTCCCTGCAGATTGTCGAGAAACCCTGTTTTATTATCACAGAGCAGAATGAGAACATGAAAAATAAACATGGTTTACCTACCTGTAATTTAATTTCAACTAATATTCGCCTACCCTCGCTCATTTTCCAATTTTTTTTGTGAATACATATCCGATAAATTTATTTGGTTAAAAACTGATATCGCAAATTGGAACGAAGTCACCAACAGCATTACAAACTGTCGGAACTTTGGGCTAACAAAGTGTAGAGCTGGATGAACACAGCAGGCAGGGCAGCATTAGAGGAGCAGGAAAGCTGACGTTTCGGGTCTGGACCCTTCAGAAAAATCTAAAATATCCTCCAATTCGGAGTTTGAAAATCCTGGTGCTGTATCATTGAGACAGTTTTCCGCTGTAAATACTCTCCAACTTTCTCCCATGCCTCTCACTAATGCACCTAATGTACATTCTGTCCACGTTATTCCGAGACACACTATCTCCACCCCAGAGAAACCATTGCATTGACAAAACAAAATGAGAATGTAAAGTAAAACGAGTTCACTCACCATTCAAATCAATCCCGGATTGTAACTCATTCCCCACGTGTTAGCAGTAAACTTTCCCGGAATTCATTGACGGATACCGGCCAATCAGACCACACTAGAAAGGCGGTGTTAAAAGACACAGGGTGTCTTTTAAATCATCTATTTAAAGTCTGGGGAAATAAATCGTCCTGATAAAGTTTAAACTATTGCGTGGCCGACCTTTAAACCACAGTTGTGTTGCTTGCCCAGAATCGTGCTCCTGTGATTCTATTTAGAAGCTAGGCTCCAACCACACGCTTTCGCACCTTTGAAATGTGTGATCCTTCTCACACACAGTCATCAAAAAAAGTTTAAATGCAGTGGGTTGCATGCGTTTTAATTTGTCTAGACTTCTTGTTGTATTGTGTTTGAAATGGAAACCTGCTTTCCGAGAAAGCCCTGGGCTTGGAAGAAGTGCTTTAGAGCAGATTAGGAATGTACAGCGTTAAGTAATTCACTGTAACATCTTTCATTCAATTATAAATGTTTTAGCACATTCAACCTCATTGTTCAACAACAAAAACAAGATTGCTGGAAAAGCTCAGCAGGCCTGGCAGCATCTGTGGAGGAGGAAACAGAGTTAACGTTTCGGGTCCGGTGACCCTTCCTCAGAACTGATGGTTGCTGGGAAAACGTCAGTTTATATGCAGAAAATAGGGAGGTGGGTAGGGAGTAAACGATAGGATAGAGCCCGAAGAGAGAGAAAGACAGAAGAAGGGTCTAGGCCTGAAACGTCAGCTTTCCTGCTCCTCTGATGCTGCTTGGCCTGCTGTGTTCATCCAGCTCTACACCTTGTTACCTCAGATTCTCCAGCATCTGCAGTTCCTACTATCTCTGAGAGAGAAAGACAGTTGGACAAAGGAGTTGCTAACGATCAGGCTGGGAGGGTGAGTAGTTGTTAATGGGGACTGTTAGTGACTAACAACAGGGGCTGTGTAGTGGCAGGCTATGTGATAACAAGGCCTGGTGTGTGGGGTGGGGGACTGGGACATGGGAGAGTTTAGGCCCTAAAATTATTGAACTCAATATTGAGTCCGGAGGGCTGTAGGGTCCCCAAGCGGAAAATGAAGTGTTCCTCCAGCTTGCGTTGGGCTTCACTGGAACACTGTAGCAAGCCAGAGACAGAGATGTTGGCCAGGGAGCAAGGTGGTGCACTGAAGTAGCAGGCAACAGGTAGTTCAGGGTCTTTTTTGCGAGCAGAACGTAGATGTTCTGCGAAGCGGTCGCCAAGTCTACACTTCGTTTCCCCAATGTAGAGGAGACCACATTGTGAGCAGCGAATGCAGTAGACTAGATTCTTGGAAGTGCAGGTGAAGTGTTGCTTCATCTGGAAGGTATGTTTGGGCCCGTGGATACTGGGGAGGGAGGAGGTAAATGCACAGGTGTTGCACCTTCGCCGGTTACAGGGGAAGGTGCCGTAGGGCTGTGGGGAGGTGTTGGGGGTGAAGGAAGTGTGGACCAGGGTGTCCTGGAGGGAACGGTCCATGCGGAAGGTGGACAAGGGAGGGGAGGGGAATATGTGTCTGGTGGTGGCATCTTGCTAGAGGTGGCGGAAATGGTGTCTGATGATCTTCTGGATGTGGATGCTGGTGGGATGGTAGGTGAGGATAAGCGGAACCCTATCGCTGTTGCGGGAGGGACGAGAAGGGGTGAGGGCAGAAGTGCGGGAGATGGGTCAGACCCGATTGAGGGCCCTGTCGACAACAGAGCTGGGGAATCCTCAGTTGAGGAAGAATGTGGACATTTCGGAGGCTCCCTTGTCGAAGTTGGCCTCATCTGAACATATGCAACGAAGATGGAGGAACTGAGAGAATGGGATGGAGTCTTTACAGGAAGTGGGGTGTGAGGATGTATAGTCCAGGTAGCTGTGGGAGTCAGTGGGTTTGTAATGGATATTAGTGGCCAGTCTATCTCCAGAAATGGAAACAGAAATGTTGAGTAAGGGAAGGGAGGAGTCAGAGATAGACCAGGTGAAAGTAAGGGCAGGGTGGAAATTGGAGGTGAAATTGATGAAGTTTTCCAATTCTAGATGAGAGAGGGAAGCAGCACCGATGATATCATCGATATATCAGAGAAAGAGTTGTGGGTGGGGTCCAGAATAGGACTGGAACAAGGAATGTTCCATGTACCCCACGAAGAGACAGGCATAACTAGGGCTCATGGGGGTACCCATGGCAACCCCTCTTACCTGAAGAAAATGAGAGGAGTTGAAAGAGAAGTTGTTGAGGGTGAGGACAAGCTCAGCCAAGTGGAGGAGTGTGGTGGTGGGTGGGGATGGTTCAGGTCTTTGCTCCAGGAAGAAGCGGAGAGCCCTAAGACCCTCCTGATGGGGAATGGATGTATAAAGGGATTGCACATCCATGGTAAAGAAGATGTGGCTGGAGCGGTAAACTGGAAGCTTTGAAACCGGCGTAAGGCGTCGGATGAATCATGGATGTATGTGGGTAGGGATTGGACCGGGGGGAGAAGACTGAGTCAAGGTAGGAAGAGATGCATTCTGTGGGGCATGAACAGGCTGAAACAATGGGTCTACCTGGACAGTACTGTTTGTGGATTTTTGGCAGGAGGTAGAAACGAGCTGTGCGGGGTTGGGGGACTATTAGCTTGGAAGCGGATGGGGGGAGATCACCGGATGAAATGAGATCCATAACCGTAGTGGATACAATGGCCTGATGTGCCACGGTGGGGTCATGGTCCAGGGGAAGGTAGGAGGAGGTATCTGAGAGCTGGCGCTCAGCCTCTGCAAGGTAGAGGTCAGTATGCCAGACTACAACAGCACCACCCTTATCGGCAGGCTTGATGACAAAGTCAGGGTTAGATCTGAGTGCACGGAGTGCAGTCAGTTCGGAGGGAGATAGGTTGGATTTGTTGAGAGGGGCAGTGAAATTGAGGCAACTAATGTCAGTCGACAGTTCTCAATGAAAAGATCGAGTGCAGGTAAAAGGCCGGAGGGAGGGGTCCAGGAGGAAGGAGAGTGTTGGAGTTGGGCAAAGGGGTCTGTGGGATGGGGAGAGGACTCTTGTCCAAAGAAGTGAGCACGGAGGCGAAGATGGCGGAAGAACAGTTCGGCGTCATGTCGTGCCCGAAATTCGTTAAGGTGGGGATGCAGAGGGATAAAGCTGAGGCCTTTGCTGAGTACAGAGCATTCAGCATCGGAGAGCAGAAGTTTAGGAGGGATGGTGAATACCCGACAGGAGGTGGGGGGTTTGGGGGAGGGGATAGAGTCAGAGGGAAGGGGAGGAGAGGTAGGTTCCAGTGCCATGGGTATTTATGAGTTGTTGCATCTTGTGGGCCTTGATGCCTGAAAGGAAAAGAGAAAGTTTCTTGTTAGCACGACGAATGAGCCGGAGGATGAATTGGAACTGCGGAGTGGTGCAGCCCTGAGCCAGCACATTGTGATGCTGTTGGAGAGAGAGGTTGAGAGTGCGCATGTGACACCGCATGGCACTGAGTGTGGATCTCAGGATACGGCGAGAGCAGCTGTTCATGGAACGTTGAACATCATGGAGATATCTGTGATCCTGGGAGGATTCAAAACATGAGGGATGAAACTTCAGTTGGAATCCACGTGGGGTGAGTCTGAGCCGGAGGCAGTCCCTGAGGAATGTGATATGGCTGTGGAAACGAGTTTTAGCAAATACCTGGTCAAACACCAGGAGTGACAGTGAAATTAAAGTCGGTGGGCAAGAAAAGAGATTGGAACGGAAATCCTGTCAGAGAGAGGAGCAGAACTTCTTCAAGGTGGGCATGCCTGGAAGAGATGTGGCAGTGAGTTAAGTACTAAATAAAAACCAAAAGAACTGCGGATGCGGTAAATCAGGAACAAAAACAAAGTTGCTGGAAAAGCTCAGCAGGTCAGCAGGAGGAGAAAACAGAGTTAACGTTTCGGGTCCGATGACCCTTCCTCAGAACCGATGGTGGCTAGGAAAACGTCAGGTTATAGGCAGAAAATAGGGAGGTGGGTGGGGTAGGGAGTAAACGATAGGATAGAGCCCAAAGAGAGAGAGAGAGACAGTTGGACAGACAAAGGAGTTGCTAACGATCAGGCTGGGAGGGTGAGTAGTTGTTAATGGGGACCTCATCAGTCCTCGAACAACCTCAAACAATGACCTCAAACAACCTCATTGTTCAGTTTGTTTTTGTCTGTCTGCTGACCAGCCTGTTGCGATCTGGGTCAATTTTTATGCTCCATAAAAACATTCTTCCCATTCTACTCCATCTCAACCTTTCTCCCTTTTGTGCTGACCTAACCTTCCCATAAACATTTTATATTTGGTGTGCATTTTAAGTGTTTTAAAAATTAAAAAAATGACATAAGGGCATAAAAAGGAACCAGACGAAACATTTCAAGTGTTAAAGTCTTCGGGGCCTTTGCAATCCATCCCATTAATCTTTCCTAGTAATGGAGGAAGTGGTCGAGCGAGGGAACCATGGTTTACTAAAGAAGTTGAATCTCTTGTCAAGAGGAAGAAGGAGGCTTATGTAGAGATGAGGCGTGAAGGCTCAGTTAGGGCGCTTGAGAGTTACAAGTTAGCCAGGAAGGACCTAAAGAGAGAGCTAAGAAGAGCCAGGAGGGGACATGAGAAGTCTTTAGCAGGTAGGATCAAGGAAAACCCTAAAGCTTTCTATAGGTATGTCAGGAATAAAAGAATGACTAGAGTAAGATTAGGGCCAGTCAAGGACAGTAGTGGGAAGTTGTGCGTGGAGTCTGAAGAGATAGGAGAGGCGCTAAATGCATATTTTTCGTCAGTATTCACACAGGAAAAAGACAATGTTGTCGAGGAGAATACTGAGATACAGGCTATTAGACTAGACGGGATTGAAGCTCATAAGGAGGAGGTGTTAGGAATTCTGGAAGGTGTGAAAATAGATAAGTCCCCTGGGCCGGATGGGCTTTATCCTAGGATTCTCTGGGAAGCTAGAGAGGAGATTGCAGAGCCTTTGGCTTTGATCTTTATGTCGTCATTGTCTACAGGAATAGTGCCAGAAGACTGGAGACTAGCAAATTTTGTCCCCTTGTTCAAGAAGGGGAGTAGAGACAACCCTGGTAATTATAGACCAGTGAGCCTTACTTCGGTTGTGGGTAAAGTGTTGGAAAGGATTATAAGAGATAGGATTTATAATCATCTAGAAAGGAATAATTT